GGCCCAAGAAATAATTCTTAAGCTTCTTAAGTCAAGCACTGCCCCAGATGGCAAGTCTATAAACAGTAAACAAAAGACCCAGCATCTCCTCCTTCTTGGAGCTGACATTCTAATGGGGGACACAGATGAAAAACAAGTAATAAAGAGAGTATACAGGCCTGGCTACATTAGACAATAGTAGAATTTCATAGCTTAAATAAGTGACTTTTTTTTTTAATCTCAATCCTGCTCCTTCTGTAAGGTAAGTTACTTTTAAGAAAGCATATATAAACTACTTTCATGAGCTCAGAGTTTTACGGTAAGGAAAAGAAGAAATATAATTTATTTGACTATAATTATAATAATTATATATTATGTATAATGATTTTCTTACAAAAATATAAATTTTCCTGCAAAACATACTTATGAAGTGCAGTGCCATAATGTCTGCAATTTACTCTCAAATGGTCTGGGGAAAAAAAATTATACACAGACACATAAACACATACACACACTGAGAGACATATAAAGTAAAATGTGGCAAAACATTTACAATGATAAATCTAGGTTAAAGGTATATGGGTGTTCATTGTCATTATTTGTGCAATGTTTCCAAAAACTTGAAGATTTTTTTAAAAAAGTTAGAAAGAAAAAAAGTATAAATCATGCTAAAATAAAAGGGAAACTTTTTAGATGATAAGTTCATTCTTTCAAAAGGCCTTTCCTTATATTAATAGAATCTTTTAAGCAAAGTACTGTTGTCCTTTCCAATACTTTTTTTTCCTTACAGGTGAAGAAGAAAAATGACATCACCTTAATTGTCCAACTGTCATTTACGGAACTGAATACCGAGGCTAGGCAGCTTCTTAATTCTTCCCGACTTAAGCAAGGTTATTATAAGCCACCAAGGAAGAAAGGTAAAAATGGTTATCAGCGCAACATATTTGGGCCATGAGCTCAAAACAATATACCCAAAGATCCCTCAAAAGATCCATTTCAATCTTTCTCTTTTTCTTTTCAGACAGCCTAGTTAATATTTCAGAACTTTAGCAGAGTAGAGGATGGGAAAATGAAAATCAATTAATAGGACTCTGTCAAATATTTGGTTTCCAAAAACTTAGACCACATCAAACATTGTTTTCCCAGAAAACTTCCATGTAAGTAGAATTTTGTAATGACTCTACTACAATGTGCCTTCAGCTAGCCATCAGGTATGGGCAGGGACAAACACATTATTTTATCCTTCGGGATTCACAGGTGTTTTCTATCTTTAATGGTAGAATTTATAGTCGGGAATATTTTTTAAGTTTTATACTAATTTAGCTCTCTAACCTTTCTCCCACTATACTCCACAAGGAATTTGAGTAAATTATAAACAATGCTTCTTCCTCTTTGCACGGCCACTAAGTAGACTGACAATAAACTCTAATATGGAATATGTCTTCACACATAGACAAAAAAGTGCAGAGATAAAATAATCCATAATATACTCACAGTCATTGATAAACTGCATATCTGAAATATGAATCCAGGATTAAAACTAAAATTTTTGTTTCGTTTTTGTTTTTAGAGGCTTTTTAGTTTAGTTTAGTTTTAATTTTGTATTGAGCCATACAAAATTCTAGTCTCAATAGTACAGTACTGTATTTGAATAGTGCTCCTTCTGCTGGCCTTCCAGAAGCATGGCAAGAGTCCACTGTGTGTAGTCTTTATGGATAAATGACCAGAAGCTGACTTCACAAGTGGAAAATCGGAAGGTTTTACTTTAGGAGCTCCTATAGACAGCAAACTTTATGGTAGCAACTTTTCCCCAACCAAGTAATGAGTGGACATAAAATATGAAATTTTTTAGGGTGCCCAGATATACTCAACAAAAATACCACTCTACCAGGGAATGTTTAAAAAGTATATATTTAGGCTGGGCGCGGTGGCTCACGCCTGTAATTCTAGCACTCTGGGAGGCCGAGGCAGGCAGATTGCTCAAGATCAGGAGTTCGAGACCAGCCTGAGCAAGAGCGAGACCCTGTCTCTACTAAAAATGGAAAGAAATTAACTGGACAACTAAAAATACATATAGAAAAAATTAGCCAGGCATGGTGGTGCATGCCTGTAGTCCCAGCTACTCGGGAGGCTGAGGCAGGAGGATGGCTTGAGCCCAGGAGTTTGAGGTTGCTGTGAGCTAGGCTGACGCCACAGCACTCTAGCTAGGGCAACACAGTGAGATTCTGTCTCAAAAAAAAAAAAGATATAAGAACGTATACCCCAAGCCAGAAAGTCTCCTAAATGGGACAAGGACAATGGAAAAGGAAATTACCTCCTAGAAAAAGCAGCACGTACCTCTGGAAGAAAGCGCTCTCTGAAGCAGTTAGGAGACCCTTCAGGTATCCACCTTTGAAATGGTTAATTCTGCTGCTGCAAGGGAGCTTCTTTGGTTTGAAACAGAACCAGGGTTCTCCAGTGTAGAGATCTGTAAAGTTACACAAGGGCAGACTCCCAGGAAGACACACGTTGCACTCAGTAGTTTCAGAAATTCTTCCTGAACGGAAGAGACTCTTGAAATAGACCCTGTCTGGTTTCTCTTCCTGTAAGTGCTGAAGAACTCTGATCCCTTCACTGGGGTGGACCAGAGATACAGACACTTTAACTTTGCCTGGCCAGAGCAAAGTAAAAAAAACCTTGTAAAACCCATTCTGATAGTCTACCACTCTGCCCACAGCCCCTGCTTGCAACTTGGGGGAATGAATTCTGGCCTGCAGGTAGTCTCCACCATACTTCTTGGGCTTTCTTTGAAAGTCCTGCACATGAACCAGCACCTCCAGCTGGCTTCCCACCTTGAAGAAGGCTGCAGAGTTTAAGATGACGAAGTAGCTGGAGGAAGGGTCAGTGCTCTTCACAAAGGGGACTGGGCCCACATCAGGAACCTGCCACTGCAAGGCAGCCAGTAAGGAGTCCTCTTCCACACGCTCCTGGCTGGACAGGGCCTGGTGCTCATAGCCACAGTAGGGATTCCGGCTAATTCCTGTCACTTGGGAGGAAACAAACTGCCCACTGCTGTCGATGAATGTGGCTGAAACAGTCTCACGGTCCAAGTACTGAAGAGAAAGACACAAACAACAGAAACTACCACTATAATAAATCTTTGTATATTCAGCCAAACGAATCTCTCCTTCAGTTTAAATCTGTACAAAATCACTTAGAATGACATTGTTTCAAAAACACAATAAAATCAAAATGAGAAATAAGGGCCAAGCATGGTGGCAGCACTTAGGAGGCTGAGGCGGAGGATCGTCTGAGGCCAGTTTGAGAACAGCCTGGGCAATATCGCAAGATCCCATCTGTACAAAAAATAAAAAAATTAGCCAGGCATGGTGGCGCTCGCCCATAGTCCCAGCTACTTGGGATGCTGCGGTGGGAGGATCGTCTGAGTCCAGGAGTTTGAGGCTGCAGTAAGCTATGATTGTGCCACTGTACTCTAGCCTGGGCAACAAAGTGAGACCCTGTCTCCCCAAAAAAAAAAAGGGAGAGAAATAAATTCACAGAGAGGTCCCCACACTTTTGTTGAGTTTAACCTCAGAAGTTCTGTCAGGTTCTCACAGTGAATACCAAAGAAAAATCCCATTGGGCTTCTGGCAAGAGAAAGGGAAAAGGAACCATTTTGAAATACACCAGAGCATTGTGTTCCTCTTAACAAAATCTGTCCTCAAGAGAAACTATTTTACCAGAACCTAGCTTGCTGGGGTTTTATCAGAGCCTAACCAACCTGAGAGAAGCCCACTCTAGCTATCTGGGCCAAGAGGAAGAAAAACCAAAAGCACTGGTAAAGTTCACATCCAAGGGGCACAGACTCACCAAAGACTGAGACCTAATGGTAGGATGATAGAATGCTTCCCCTCCCCCACATATTGCTACCACACCACTAAAAGTCTATCTTTACCTGAGTTCCTTTCACCCAGTACACAGCAGGTCTAGCTTTCAACAAAAAAAATAACAATACATACTAAAAAGCAAAAACCACAGTTTGAAGACACAGAGCAAGCATCAGAACCAGATTTACATACAGCAGGAATGTTAGAATTATCAGACTGTGAATTTAAAAAAACTATAATTAATATGCTAATGGCTCTAAATGGAAAAAGCAGATAAGCAAGAATAGATGGGCCTTGTAAAACAGAGACATGGAAATCCTAAGAAAGAACCAAAACAAAATGCTAGAGATCAAACATACTGTAAGAGAAATGAAAAATGCCTCTGATGGGTTCATTAGGAGCCTGAACACAGCTGAAGAAAGAGTCTCTGAGCTTGAGGATATTCCAATAGAAATCTCCAGAACAGAAAAGCAAAGAGACAAAAGACTGAAAGACAGAACACTCACGAGCTGTGGCACCACTATAAAATGTGTGACTTGCACATAATGAACATATCAGAAGAAGGAAAAAAAGGAACAGAAGAAATATTGGAAGCAATAATGACTGAGAATTTCCCGAGTTAACATAAGACACCAAACTCCATACCCAAAAAGCTAAGGGAATAGCAAGCAGGATAAGTGCCCCAAAAAACTATACCTAGGCCTATCATATTCAAACTGTAGAAAAATCAAAGATAAAGAAAAAAATCTTAAAAGAAGACACAGGAAAAAAACCACCTTACTTATAGAGGAGCAAGAAAAGACTTACACCTGACTTGTCCTCGAAAACCATGCAAACAAGAAGAAAGTGGAGAGAAATTAGTGCTGATAGAAAAAAAAAAAAACCATCAACCTAGAATTCTAATTCTGTAACCTGCAAAATTATTCTTCAAAAGTGAAGGAGAAATAAAGATTCTCAGACAAACAAAAACTGAGTTAAGTTGTTGCCAGTAGCCTGCCTTGTAAGAAATTTTAAAAGAAGTCCTTCAGGAAGAAGGAAAAAGATATAAGTCAGAAACTCAAATCTACATAAAGAAGAACATCAGAGAAGGAATAAGTGAAGGTAAAATAAAAAGTTTTATTTTTCTTATTCTTGGTTGATTTAATAGATAACAGTTTATTCAGAATAATAGCAACAATGTATTTGATTATGTATAATCATATATTCATATATAAATATATATGTTTATATGTATGCTTACATATAAGTGAAATAGATGACAGCAACATACAAGTAACAGGAGGGAGGAATTTGACCCTTGAACGACATTTGACCGTTGAATGACACAGGAGTTAGGAGTATTGACCCCTGCGCAGTCAAAAATCCATATATAACTTTTTTTTTTTTTTTTTTTGAGACAGAGCCTGGCTCTATTGCCGAGGCTAGAGTGTCGTGGCGTTGGCCTAGCTCACAGCAACCTCCAACTCCTGGGCTCAAGCGATCCTCCTGCCTCATCCTCCCAAGTAGCTGGGACTACAGGCATGCGCCACCATGCCTGGTTAATTTTTTCTATGTATATATTTTTAGTTGTCCAGATAATTTTCTTTCTACTTTTAGTAGAGACGGGGTCTCACTCTTGCTCAGGCTGCTCTCGAACCACTGACCTTGAGCGATCCACCTGCCTCGGCCTCCCAGAGTGCTAGGATTATAGGCGTGAGCCACCGCGCCCATATATAACTTTTAACTCCCCCAAAACTTAACTACTAATAGCATACTGTTGATTGGAAGCCTTACTGATAACATAAACAGTCCATTGACACATATTTTTGTGTGTTACATGTATAATACACTGTATTCTTACAATAAAGTAAGCTAGAGAAAAAAACATTATTAAGAAAATCATAAGAGGCTGGGCATGATGGCTCACGCCTGTAAGCCTAGCACTTTGGGAGGCTGAGGCAGGAGGATTGCTTGAGATCAAGAGTTCAAGGCCAGCCTCAGCAAGAGCAAGACCCTGTCTCTACTAAAAATAGAAAAAATTAGCTAGGTAAGTAAAAAATAGAAAAAAGTAGCCAAGTGTCATGGCATGGGCCTGTAGTCCCAGCTATTCGGGAGGATGAGACAGGAGGATGGCTTGAGCCCAGGAGTTCTAAGTTGCTGTGAGCTAGGATGACACCATGGCACTCTAGCCCAGGTAGCAGAGTTAGACTCTGTCTCAAAAAAAAGAAGAGAAAATCGTAAGAAAGAAAAATATATTTACTAGTCATTAAGTGGAAGTAGATCATCATAAATGTATTCGTCCTCATCATGTTGAGTAGGCTGAGGCAGAGGAGGAAGGGGAGGAGTTGGTCTGGCTGTCTCAGGGGTGGCAGAGGAGGAGGTGGTGTAGGATGTGGATGGGGAGGCAGGTGTAGTTATACACAGCATAACTACAGAAATACACTGTAATTTCTGTCTGACTTTTTTGCTTATTCATTTCTCTAAAAATGTTTCTATATGGTATCAATTTTTCTTCCACTGTTTCCTTTAGTTTCAGTGCCTATCATAGAAGGATCCATGTCATAAAAGAAGTCAAAAGCAATTCTGAAATAATCATAACCCTTTTGCCAAACTGTCTAATGACAATTTGTTTTCTGGCACTACTATTTCTACGTCTTCTTCCTCATCATTGGATATTGGTTCAGAAGTACTCATTTCCATCAAGTCATCTTCTGTTAATTCCTCTGATATAATGTCTATTAACTCTTGAATTTGTGGGCGGGCATGGTGGCTCATACCTGAATCCTAGCACTCTGGGAGGCCGAGGCGGGCGGATTGTTTGAGCTCAGGAGTTCGAGACCAGCTTGAGCAAGAGCGAGACCCCGCCTCTACTAAAAAAAATAGAAAGAAATTATCTGGACAACTAAAAATATATATAGAAAAAAATTAGCCGGGCATGGTGGCGCATGCCTGTAGTCCCAGCTACGCCGGAGGCTGAGGAAGGAGGATCGCTTGAGCCCAGGAGTTTGAGGTTGCTGTGAGCTAGGCTAACGCCACGGCACTCACTCTAGCCAGGGCAACAGAGTAAGACTCTGTCTCAAAAAAAAAAAGAAAAAAACATGCTCATTAAAACCATGGCATGAGGGAACAAGAAACTGAATTCGAAAAATTTCCCTTACCTACTGATTACCTTTCCAGAAATGTTCCACCTGCCCTCTCCTTTTTAGTTGTTGTGAGGCTGTAACACACCATTAAGGATCAAATCATGCACCATGTGCTCACAACAAACCTCATCTTCTTCCTGCCCTTTTCCTCTCTTCCTTTCCCACTTTCACTCTTGTTCCACAATCACCACACCAACTATCCAAGGCCAGCTGATTGACCCACACAACCCAATTCAGAAATCACCACACACGGTGGTAAGCCACCCAAATTTTACTTGCAAATGAAAAACATGCAAAAAGCCAATTTGGTTTATTTTCCTAAATGGCAACTCAATCCCATTCTGTTGACAAGGGCAACTTCAGGTCTGCAGTCTTTTTAGATTTAGAGCCAAGAGAAAATACCAAACAGATGATCCACCCCTCAAGCCATTGTAAGCTGTGAGCCAGAGTGAACATCATGGTTGCCTGTCCCACATCCATTTCACTCCGAGCCTACTGAGTAACAGGAATGTGTTTGCTGACCTGTCAGCTCAGGTGTGGGCCTGACTGATGGAGGGATAATTCTAAGGAAATGACTGGTTCAGGAATGGATATGTGACCCAATTCAGGACCATGAGAACCAGAAGAGGTTGCTGGAGGCTTATGCTTGATACATGCAGCCAAATCCAGACACCAGTAATCCCCTGGTAACAGTTATTTGAATTTTACTTGCAAATGAAAATATGCAAGTAATCCCTTGAGAGGATTTCAAGGGAACAACTGTCTCTTTAGCTGGACATGTACAAGGAAGCAACCACCTCACTGCTCTGGCAGGCATCCTACAATCCAACCACGAAGGAGGATGCCACAGATGAAAGCTAACACACAAAAAAAGGCACAGCTAAGAGGCTTATAGAGAAACAAAGCCTGATCCCCAATAGAACTATGCCCAACTTATTTTTATTCAAATGAGTAATATTCTTTAATATTACAGTCAATTTGAATCAGGTGTCTTTGCTTGCAGCCAAAAGCCCTAATTATACAGGTATATATACAGGTATTATAATACATATCTAAAATATCAATGAATAAAGCAAAAGAAAAAATATAGGCCATGCTCAATGA